TGGAAGGTTGGTAAAATAATACGTCATGAGTGGTGTCTGTTGCTTACGACAGTGTTGAGATTGACCGTAATAAAACAAATTTTTATATTTTTAATATACCCCTTCCCCTCATTGTTAATTTCTGTGTACTCCCCACTGTAATGCATAGCCGTATCCAAGTGGATATTGAAATGTAACTATGTATAAACGAGCTAATATTTGTACCTATTTGAAAATTAATAAAATCACATTAAAGATGAAAACAAAACATTTCAATCATTAATATAAATAACTATCAAGGTGGATAATAAACAATTACATATATTGATATATTGATTAAGATATACCTAATAAAATGATGTGTTTACATATTGAAATATGTTGAATGTCACCATCCGTTTTTCGTGTATAAATACTAAATATATGTTGACATGAAGTGGAACAGAAATATTGCACTTGACACAGTTTAATTCAAATTATCATTTTGTAAGCCAATGTTCTATATTTACTTAGCTTTAAACCTATGAAATTATACTTAATCGTTAGGTATCGTCGTATCGGAAGGAAAATACGACGAGAGAAAAAGTAAAACACGTCGATGCATTATGATTTATGAATACAGCGTAAGTCACTCGTTCTTCTTGAGCTGACAAAACGTATACAATCAAGTTGAGAAAATGTTGGATTAATTAAATTTCTGAAAAACGGATCGGATATAATATAATGTACCATCTAATATCGAAATCTTATAATTATAATGTTGTGGTTTGCGGTGTGCTCGGACGTCATTTGAAATAATTGGAAAAATGAAGTAAATTGTTTTAAAATAATGTTTTATTTTTCATCAAAATAAATGTATATTATTCATTATTCAGTCTAAATAAGAGCAAAAATATTATCGTAGAAAGTTAAGAAATTGATTGAGCGTATATTGTACATAATATTCCATCTAAATGTAAGTACTACACACGCGGGACTACATAAATTAATACAATGGAGAATTCGCACTGATATATAGGTACTTCGTTCAACAAATGAACTTTACACAAGTCAACAGTTATAAGGGGAAAATAATAAGTATTTGCTCAAAAATATAATATATGGCAATAATTGATGATAAATACATACTATATATTATTAAAGTTTAGAGGAGGTTTAGACGGTTGTTTTGGCATTTATAAAAATGTAATACATACATCATTGTTATGAACATTTATCAATTTTTAGGTACTATAACCTTAAGAGGACAAGCTTTAAGGTGACCTAAAATATAGCGTTATATAAACTGTGATGACAAACTATAGTAGGTACTGTTATCAGTATCGCATTAATATTGTTACTCATGTGTATTTTTTACTATATACTCGATTATCTAATCAATATTGTTGCAATTCCCGATTTACTGCAGTATGTGTCTTATAACGGTTTACAACTAAACAATTATAGGAGTGAGAGTATAATATATTATTATTAGTATTCTCGTATTAATATAATAGGTACATAATAAAATGTAATTATGCAGTAATCCGAGTGGTGCACTGTCACGTGTGTCATATAAATAATACTCATGAAATTTTATTCGTCGGTTTTGCAAACAAGCACCTACTGTTTGTTAAATAATTATTATTAATAATTATGCGACACTTCCTTCATAATGATTTACAGATTTCGCACCCCATAACTCCGATATAATATATGACAATACGCCCACGGCCCACTCAGATCTTCGACAATATTGTGGAATCAATAATACGGCATTAACTTTGCCCTTGTAGAGTAAAAAAAAAAATAATCACAGCGGTCATTCGGCCTACCTACATAAATACTAATAAATGTTACGTGTACAGAAAAACTACCTCTACCCACTGACATTATCGCATAGTAGGTATAATAAGTGTATAACCACAAGTCCACAATTAATGTATAACGAGCACGTTAATTTACTATTACGAAAGTCTTTGGTTTTTAGCCGTATAATTACTTGTAAATACCTATATATATTATTACAAATGCATTCAGGTAGACGGTAAAATAGCCAACACAGTATGATCGCCATTGTCGTGGTAACGGCAACACGTGTATACTAATATAGCTGATGTATCTAATCTAAGTTCGTCTCTAATCGCAGTTGGGCGATGTATCTCATGTATAGTGCTCCTGTACAGAAAGTATCGAGTACTTGAATAATGTTTACTGTTTACTTTCACTATCTCTAAAGGCGTCTTAGAGCACCTCGTCTATAACACAGCTATAAAGTAGTGTAATAAGCTATATATTATATTATTATTGCGGGCGATATTCATTTCGTTTAAGCCGTTCGAACGAAACGTATTATATATCAACATAATATATGGTAACATAATACACTATCCGCCAATTGAAATGCGATCGTGGTTAGTAATCGGCAACCGTTCAAACCCATAAAATCAAATAGTATCAAAGTGACAATATGTACCATATATACGACGTGATAATAAATTGGTAAGCTTTGTACAAATGGCCAGGAATCAAACCATCATTTCCTCGATATTTACAAAATAGTAGAAGTATTTTTTTGTAAAAGGCCTCCTTCCACTAGAATTCAACCCTAGATCCGCGGCTTTGGACGCCGAGATCGCGAAGGTCTGCAAAGTTGTTATTGCCACGGGAGTATTACGATGTTATACTTATCAATTTAATTCGCCGGACCAAATTTTTACCTCGATTCATACCATTTTAGGTCGAACAATAGTCAGGCGTCTATAGGTTGCTTTGATGTCGGCAGGGCGACGGACTAAAAGGCTTTTACGATTATACAAAACGATTTAAGGGGAAGGGGTAATGGCGCGGAGTTGAAGATAAAAGGATTTCGCTCGTTGCACACTGCAACGACCTCGGTCAACTGCTGAGTACGCTGCTTACGCGTTACGTCGACAGCTTTAAAACTGATTGGATAGAGGGTGCAAGCAGCAAAAGTCAAGAAGCTAACAATTTCAAGTCAAAGCCTATCTTCTACACTACCCCCTCCAACAGGGGAATGAAATATGTTTTCTTAAACTAGATCGAAACATATTGTCTTTTGATTAAAATGGATAATAGCAATATCGATATTCAGTTCGATGGAATCGAACTCTGTTTGACCGAAATGAAAAACAATGTATTCTATATTTTGTGAGTAATTTTCAATACGCATAACTCGATATATATTTTTTATTTTTATTTTTACTTAGGTATATACTATTGTAAAATTGTTTGGACACATTTCAAAAACGATGACATTAATAATTGAATGAAAATGTAATCATTATAATAATAACGATGATAATAAATAATATAATAAATAGGCGTAGATAATGTAACCGGCAATAATATTTACTATCTTCAAGGCGCGTTGGCATTATGTTAAGTAACTTCGCCTACATCACACTTTAAATACAAGCGGGTTATCGGACGGCGGCTGAGTTCTCCTCTAACGTTTTCGCCAGACAGAAAATTCGCACTACCTCAGCGGTCACCCGTGAAGTATACAGTCGTAAACCAACAAGACAATAATAGTATGAAATGATAATAATGCCACTGCGTTCAATGACATCTGAATCACGTCGTCGCTCAATGACGAAAAAATATTCCAACAACGCGTACAATATCATTAATATGATAATAATAATATTATACATGGAGACGTTAATAATATTATATTATAATAATGAAATAATAAGAAAGGTCGTCTTCATCCTATCATCTAATAAAATATGATAATATAATAATATGACGCGATAGAAAAATTATTATTATCATTATTGTCATATTAATCCCCTCATCGCGTCGTTTATACCTACCTATTATGGTATTGTATGTTTGCATGCATGTATAATATTATATTATTATGGTACCCTATATATCTGTGTTCTGGTCGCACTCGGTTACGAGCATGTTGCACGTCAAGTTTCAACCCTCTCGCAACCATCGACGACAAAGGATAATCAACAAGTCGGCCATTTGTTTCGTGAAACATTTATTGACTCACTATTTATAGATTCTCCCGAAGGTGTCTTAGTCGAGAGGGTTACGGACACGACTGGATGAACAACCTCCCAACACCTTATTTTATTTGTATGGAAAAATATTCGGATACAGTAATTTCCCACTTTACTTAATTAAAACTAATATTTCAATATTGCGCAATACCTAGCCAGATAATAATAATATTGAATTTTCCTAAACACCCACAGTTTTAATATTTTTTTCTCTCTGTCGTCGCCAACTATTGTATGCTGATGTTGAATATTTTACCAAATCGGCGTGAACCCGATGAAATACTGTCATTTCTTCCCCGGCGAAACCGGCCGTTTCGGGAGCCGACTAGCTGACCCGCGAGTGCTAACCGAGCCGACCACAGCCGTCTTAAAACACAATAGTTGAACGATTGCGACTGATGACGTGATTGCGGGTAAAAATAGGAAAGCCGTTGTGACCCGACACAGCCTCGGACCGATAGAAAACCCATTGTCCCGGCAAGCCGCAGCTGCTTGCACGTGCACACGAGGTAGGCAGGCAGGCATAATATTATTTTATACAATAACAATAATAATAATAATAGTAATCTACCTACCCACAGACAGAGACCGGTTTTCGCCCGACCAGATCGTACCATTATTACACACGCACACAATATCATTCAGTCGTACAACAGTAATAATATCGTGGTCTTCGTCTCCACGACGTGATTACAACAAAGGTTGGTACATGCATTATAATCGAAACAGGTTGCGGGGGGGTTTCGTGGGGCGATCTCTGAGCGTACACCTAGCCCGCCCGATCTATCCCTTCCCGCCCACCGGCGACTTGGACGCGTCGCTACACGGAAGGGCCTAAGACATCCGTATAGGGTAGTAGGAAGGAGGGTGCAATATCTTTGCACTTGAGAATATAATATTAAAACAGGATGGCCGTACAATAATAGAAAATATATTATAGTTGACGTCTTAAAAGTAATAATAATAATAATAATATTAAAATAGGTGTATGTGGTAGGTACTCACTGGACAGCGCGGCGGCGTATTGTCTGAACTTCTTGCCCTCTCGTCTGGTGCCCTTCGGCCCGTTGACCGACAGCATGCTGCTGAAAACCGACAAATCCATGGTTGGTCCGGCGTTTCAGATATGTTACAATATAATACAACTGTTACGCGGCCAAAAGGGGCCGTTTAGCGAAAGCGAAGTGCGGCACGGCGAAAAAACCGGTGCCCACGATCAAAAAAATAATAATAGTGTTATGTCAGCCGGCGGCGGCGACTCCGCGGGTTGATGCCTAGCGCGTCTCGGGGGGGTAAGTCGATGGCGATATTATCAATGTAGTTATACTTTTTGCGCATAAACGTGCATGCGACGGCGGCGGAGGGAGCGTGAGCAGTGAACGCGTTGCGGGCTCGCGGCTGTTTGGCACCGACTCGTATGCGGCGCGACGGCGGCGGCGGCGGTTGCTCTGGTTGTATGCGCGCGCGCGCGGCGGCGGGTCGGACGGCGGCAGCAGCGGTGTGGGCGAGCGAACGCGCGCGCGTAGCGCTATCCACCGGAGCGACGGCGGACCCTCGTGCGTGGTGCGTGATCTCGAGGCGGTGCGGGTGCTTAAAGAAATTTGTCACGAAACGCGCCCGAACAACGGCGACTTTCGGCCAACGGATGTCCGCGATCAACACCCACCCCGCGTTTCGAGAGTTTGAAAAGAAATTGGGTGCACTGGGTGTCCTAAGTATAGACGTAGGCGAAACTACGGGTCAGGCCACGGCCTGGCCTGATCTAATACTGACTGGTTGACATACTGGACTTAATAGAAATTAAAAATAAAAACTTTTTTTTGCAATTACAAATATTGTTTTCATACCTAGTTATCATTTGGCCTGTCCCAATAAAATTGTCTATTTAAACTTATCTCATGGCACCTATAAGATAAACGCTTCGCACTGTTCAGTTTGTTTGAAAATTATAACGTCGATGCGTCAATGATATTTTATCTTTTTCATTGATTCTACAGACATTGGCTATAAAATTATCGTTATTACCTCAATTAAACATTGATTTATACAGGTAAATTAGAATTAAAATATTGACAAAAATTGAAATTGTTCGTGTAATATTATGTTTGTTATGAGAAAACATAATATGATATTGTGATAGATTGAAATCCTAAAATGTTAGAGCCAAGTGCACGTGCTCCTCTTGCCGATGGACGGGCGGAGGATGTCATTTCGTCGGTCACGAGCTCGAAAATCACGAGGGCGAGTTAGTAACGTCGGTGGTGGTGCGATCGGAATAACAATATTAACTGGGACGAACAAAATAATATCGTCGGCCCCACGAGTAACAGCGTAGGTCGTATAGACAATAATAATAATAATAAAATGCGTTTTAGGCGGCTCAAAGTTTTTGCCCTCCCCAGAAAAAGTTTCCTACAGTTGGAGTATTTTTAAAAACGATATTTTTAGCGCCGGTTCGGAAACGACGACGACGACACTCGGCGCAACGACGTGAGCGCGGTTCGCACTTGCACACAACATCATCACCGGCGACAATGACGTGTCGCTCGACCTTCACGGTTTACTTGTTGAAAATTTATTTTTCTATCGAGTTCGTTTGCACAATTTTATATATATATATAGGTTCGTTTTTCGCATCTCTCCGGCACCGGCTGGCAGTTAAACTCATTTTTATTTCTATCGTGTAAAACCATCATCATCATCATCATAATATTATTATTATATGTTTGTATAGTGCGCATGTTTTTGTTTTGCTAATTGGGGGTGTTAATATAATTAACTATCTTACACGGCCCAAGTATTCGCGATGACTTAACTAAATAAGTGATCTTCCTTGCCAGCTATCTGCAGTGCACACACGATAATAACCCACCCACATCGCTTTATAATCAATACATACTTTACTAGGTAACATTAATGATTCTGAAATAAGCGTCTTAATTATACGGCGAGTGTCAATTGATAAGCGATGATTCTACTTTGTTAAGTATTCATTATTTTATAATTATATGCTATATTAAAATGTTTAAAATTGATACAGCTTAAAAAAATCTCAAAAGAATTATTAGATTTAAAATGAGTTTTATTTTATTATTTTTAATTGTTTTTAATTGTTTTTGATATGAAATATTCTAATGTTTTGAACAACAATTTAATATAGGTGTAATTAGTTGTCTACTTTAAATGTATGTAGGTATACCTTATGATTGAGTACAATTTGTTTTTTATATATTTTAATCAATTTTGTCACTATTTAGGATTTTTTCTGAAAATGTTGGTATTCTTATTTGACCATTTGAGTGATCTGCCATTGTGCATGTCCAACGAGTGTTCGAAACAAAAACCGAACATTTTATGGAGAGTACTGTAGGTAATCAAAAGATACAACTTTGCCCCCCCCCCCCCCCCCCCCCCTCTCCATCAAAACTTTCCATTATCCACAACACAACAGTTCTTATACCCAAATACGTATTTTAAGCTGTGGCGCCACTGTGACAAGTAATTGCATAATAATATACCACTCACTGCGACAAGTAATCGTATAATAATATGCACACTCATATACGTAGGCTGTAGGCATGTAAGTTATTAATGAAAAACGTTTTGAATAATATTATACGTGTTTTGGATTAAAATATATAATAACTCATGTGCAGCACTCACGATCAGCCATTGAATTAAATCTCGGAACTATTTTTTTCTTGATATATTCTCGGAAAATTTCTCGGTCACAAGTACGTTAATAATATACGTATGTAATATTGCATTGTACGAGTATTATGTGAATGTAAAACGTTCATTGGAAATCGATAAATAAAAAACACGATGGTACATTGAAATTAATTATTCTCCCGGAAAAGTCATTCGATTTCAATATTGATGTCTGAAATGAAGTATTTGTTACGGCGATGTTTAAAATAATTAATAATTTTATAGCACACTACGTCGTAGAATTGATTTGTCAGTTTACACAAGTTTAAATCATCGAAATTATTATGCGTACCTACCTAACTTATTGTTCATTTTTGACGTTTTTTGTGTATCTCTTATTAAGTGTTATTTACTATACCTATAGTACCTATACCTTCTATCGACATATAGTATTTGTAATCTGTAAATACACATTTTGAATGATAAATGATTAAGTTTGCGTAATTAATATTATGACTTTACAGTTGACACAATTTTTAAAGTATTCAAGATTTGATAAGATCATGAGCTTAACTTGTCACGAAGTTTTGAATTTATCAAACTCTGATATTTGTATACACGACAAAATTATTAAGTTTGTAGACTGATATCATGAGAATAGTAATCAATTAAAATCAATATTTGGAATACATTGTCATTGTGACAACTTATTACTTGATATGAGTTGAATGCATTTATAATTTATGAAGAAAAAATGTATAATAATCTATAATGTAATATATTTTTAATAATGATTACATGTACGGGTATAATGATTACCAGTAGTGAATAATGATTACTTTCAAGTTGAAAGTGATTATTATTGTTTTACGTAGTCGAAAGTTTCGACATACCAAAGCAGATATGATATTATTAAGTCAACAATGTCTGAACGTAATCTGGATTAACCCGTAGTAGAAAATCAGTTTTAATCACAACAATTAAACAAATATGATATTTTGTTCAATAGTTTAGTAGGTACCTAATTAAATACGATGTAAAGGATACCACACATCTTATCTATTTAAAAATACTTTTCATATTAGGTATATTACACATATTGTTTATGCAAAATTGGCATGATTAACTTAGGTTTTATATTATTGGCAAAGGTTACATACAATATTATTTTGCTCATCACTTTTCCTCAACTAAAATGTTTATTACTATACTAAAATGATCTAATGCAATTATAAAATATTAGTTTTGATTATTTTTTTATAACTTATAATACAAAAAGTAAAATTAAAAATGTTATGAATTTTCAACTACAAAATAATTCGGAGAATTTCGTAAACGTATGTACTTCGGCGCTTATTAAAAAAAAAAATCTAACTATTTAAATTCAATACGATTTAATTTTGGTAAGAATAATACTTAATAGGAACTTTCTATTCAATTTTTAAGCAATTTTTCTTACAAAAAAATTTATTGTAACATAAATTAAAAATTAAAAGAGTCCATTGTTAAACCAGAAACCACCCCCGTAATTCAATATTCAAACAGTTTAATTTCTACAAAAGGTGTTGAAAATATTCATTTTTTAAAACAGTTATCATTGTAAAACTTCTTTATGAATTGAATGCATTATGCATTCATCGACCCGCCTCAGAATCTAAAATCTGACTCCACTTATCTTATTCGAAAGGAATAGTTTTTTTTCTCACACAATGATCTCTCGTATTCAAATTGAATACATCCCTATATTATTAGTTATTACTCATTACATTGACCTATATATACTCAATGATAGAGTATATACTGTTTAACATCTATACAATTAAATAGCAGAAGCTAGTTTCCCGTTTTAACAAAAAAATATGTTTAAATGTAGTATTATGTCCTTTATTTTTTAATATATATATATATATATATATAAACCTATGATTTATAGAAAGAAATTATTTAAATGTAAAGATAAATTAGGAAAATTATCTCATTGAGTATTAAACCGTAGATATAATATATAAATATTTTTGTCACACACTTATATTACATTGAATAAATACGTCATGTAATGGTAAAAAAAATAAATAGAATATTATTAGCTTAATGTGAAATGTGTATTGTGTAATTGTTCTTGTATACTTACAATGAGTCTTTCTATTCATGAATTACCCTTTTATGGATCAGGAGTATCAAGACTATTTTCCTTATATAATTTCAATGGAATATAAATACTCAAGGAAATAATATTTTTTTAAAAGAATTATGCATACTCACTTAATAACTCAAGAGTCCCATAAAAAAGAGACAGAAAAACTATTGTATATATTTTATAATCGAATATCCTATACTATGACTACGACTTTCCCAACATGACAAGTCGACGTCAACATGCTCATGAGTGTATTGGTCTCATCACATTTTGTATTTAAATACCAATATCAAAATT